TTACAAGTTCCAAAATTATGAGTTCGGAGGTTTATGTGTTTGGAAGTTTATGGGTTCGAAATTTCGCAGTTTTGAAAGTTTAGTGGTTCAAAAGTTTATAAAATTTGTGGGTCCAGAGGGTTGTTGGTTTGAAAGTTTATGGCCTCATATTTATTATATCTAAATTATTTATGAATACTCTTGAAAAGTTATTTTCCTTAATTTGCGTATCAAATACCGAAAAATAAATAAAATTACTACTTATTTTTCAAGAAAACGTTTTCCGTTATACCCAACACACCCTAAAGGTGAAAAGATTTAATCCATCTAGCTGCAAATCTTGATAGTAAAAAGTAAGAAATGCGAGAGATGTAGAGAACCGACATAAGAAATGAAGTTGAGGCCACAATCGGATATTTGCTCAAAAGAAATACAGAAACATGCCCATAAGTCTTATTAGGTCAACCATAAATGGACAGATCTGCCATAATGGCGGACAAATTAAAGTCCATAGATAGAACTATTCGAAAACCTGCATAATTGAAGAATTGAATTTGTAGGGATGGACACATAACTACTAACTATACCTATCAAATGAAATGACAGATAATGTCATCCAAACTCATGGCATTAGAATTTAGAGGTGGGCATAATTTGTTCAAACTCAAAATCCAAATCCAAATAGAAATTTAAATTTTTGGGTTTTCTTATTTGAATTTTCGAATTACATATTAAATTTTAGATTTAATTTAATTTTTTTATTCGGATTTGATACTTTAAATTTTTGGATATTTGAATCTGAAATTTGTGTACCCTATATTTAGTGTTATCCATTAACATTAGCCTATTATCTGTATGCCAATTGTAATAAGTCCAACCCCATGCAGTAGATATTATAATATTCAATCTGTAAGAATATTTTTTTATTGGACATAATTTTACTATTGCTAATTTTTATCGGTCTTATTAATGTCTCTATTATATTTCATTGATGATAATTTCGTCATTTGCATGAATACTTTATTTGGATGATTAAAGAATGAGAAACTATTTAGGCAATTTAACATGGATACTTCGTTTCGATGTTTATTTTTGTAAGAAGAAGAAGCAGCTCAACTTATAGGCTCAAAACTGAAAATTCAAATATTCAAACCGATTAATCCGAAGTCAGACTTCAAAATTCGGATCCAACCCGAGCTTGTTTGGTTTGAATTTGAATTGTCATTTTTTCAATCCAAAAGTTAAAAATTCAAACCTAAATTTTCATATTCAATCCCCACTACACGAACGTCCACCTTTATCTGACATGTACAAGTGGTTTTAGCCCAGCGTACATATTTCATGTATTTGTCCTTTGGGTTCACTGGTTCGTCCTTTAAGTTATATATGACATATCGAGTTCAAAGCCTATGTAGCATTTGAATTTTGAACTTGTTCTCTAGCTCTGTCTTATGCAATACTTTCACCTTTCTCTTCCTTTCTAATGCAAGATTTATCTTACTTGTCATATGCACTTCTTCTTCAGGAGTTTTATAGCCTATCAGTTTTTCTCCTTGAACTGCCCTTACTTGATAATCTTCCATAAGGCTACAAACGAGAAACTTAAAATAAAGTTAACTTCAGACCTACCATAAACAAAGATAGAAAAGAAACGTAGTCTAAATTTGAGAGAATATATTTTTTTTTATTTGTTATATGAGATCAAGTATTCAATAGGTATTAGTATTGGTATAGGTATTCAGCCATTTAAATTCATTGACCTACTCCAACTAATAATGACATAAGATAAAGCAAATGAATGTGATGGCGAAACAAAAGCCGTGAATTATGTGGGATAATATTTAAACATTTTAGCTTCTGTAATGGTCGGCATATCTGTCGAATTTTTATATCTTTTCACATCTTGAGTGGTTTCACCAAATATGTGCCCGACCAGATAAAATCGCATGACCTGGCAAAAATCTTGTGATCCAAATATTTCAGTGTTTTCAATTCACTATTTATTTTTCTGCTTAGTTGAGATGTAATTATTTATCTGTTTAATTACTTGGGTGACACTGCATTTTTGGGCTGTTTAGTGTTCTTGATTTTAATTTGTTTGCAAGAAACTCTATAGTGTGATACCATGAAGAGGGCGGACTGATGAGGAGGGTCAAAAAGAAAGACTGGCATGCTTCTACGCTAGCAAAGATCCAAAGAAGAAGTACATATCACACTTTATGGAAATTCTACATTGGAATAAAAAAGAAAAGTGAGAAGCTTTATAAGGTATAACACAAGTTCATATGTTACGCGTAAGTTTGAGTTCGATATGATGATATGGCTCAATGAACAAATGTGTGAAGATAATACATGCCATGAGCTTGAGCTATGACATATAAATTATATATTGAATATTATTTACCTTCATAAAATATAATACTCCCTTTGTTTTAATTTATGTGAATATATTTCATTTTTAGTCTATGCCAAAAAGAAATGACCTTTGTTTATATGTAGAAATAATTTACCTTTATGCAATGATTTATAGTCACACAAAATATATGTATCTTATTTTACATCACAAGTTCAGAAGTCTTTTTTTTTAACTTCGTGTCCAATCAAATAGGTTCACGAAACAAATTCATTAACAATTTTGCACCTTATGTATCGTGTAATATAAGAACAACACGAAAATAAATCAACATATGTGACTAGTTCTGTAAGCGTTTAATGAATTCAGTCGGCTAAAACCAGAAGTTCCCTTTTTGAAAACAAAAGGTTCAGTATTTGTTCATGATTATATAAGAAGGACGAAAATAATCCAGTCCCTAAATTTAAGGAATTATTTGAGTTACAATTCAGTGTTTCCTTTATTCTTTTGTAGAATTTCTTAAAATCTTGAAATCCACTAACCTAGTTCTTTGTTTTTTTAAAAAAAATTCTTTTTAACGGAAAACAGTAACCTTATCTCCGAGAATGAAACAAGACAATGTACTTTTTAATAAAATCTGTCGAAAATCTTTGTAATTTTGGCTTTTAAATGGGAATTAAANATATTGTATTTACTATTCGTAGCTATATTTTTAGCTAATTTATTATTAGTAGATATATTTGAATTTTATAGCAAATTCATAAAATAAGAGATTAATTAATTTAAACTGAAACAAGTTTTCCTAGTTTAGTTGGTTAGAACGCCAGCTTAGTTAGTGGAGGTCTTGAGTTCTCCACTCTCAACAAGACCATTTTATTTTTCTATATTTTTGTATTTCTGCATTTGCCCTTGGCTATATTCGTAGTGCGAAAGAATACAGTCGATACGAATACAATCAATACAAGTTATATCCTTCGTATATAGCCCTGTATACGGATTCAACTCCTCTCCATTTTGTATGGGTCCGAATTTGATTGACCACGACCTATAGCGAGTATTATAAGTGGCCGAAAACCCACGAGTCGACACAAGGGTACGACCCAGAGGCGAAAGGAAAGACGTCGTCGCATTAGCATTAGGTCTGGTAGGGCAGATATATCTTAATTTGTCGTCCTCATAATGAAGGGAAGCCTCTCAGTATATAAGAGGGGTTTCAGCCTTGTAATAGACAGAGTTCGGAATATACAAGATTAATATCATCTCTCTCTCTCTCTCTACTTTTATTATCTCTCTATCAATATCTCCCTCTCTCCATTATTATTGTCTCTCTACTACAATCATCCTAGAGTTTATTATCTTCGACTACGATTTACCACTTCATCTTTGATTGATTTGCTTAAAAAGAGTTAAAAATCTTTTGAGTCAAACAATTTGGCACCGTCTGTGGGGATTTTGTTAGCCGAAATCGTAGTTCTCATCTAGGATATCGAAAGTAACGATTACTGTTCTTCATACCCCATAAAAACCAACAATGACGGAGAAAGAAGCAAGGCTGAAGATGATAGCAGAGGTATCAAACAACCTCTTAAGCTCCTTCAACGAAGCCGGTAGAGAAGGCACTAAGAATACAACACCAGGGGATACATCGGAGGAGGAGATCTCACCCTCTCAACATGAGGACCTGACGGTCTTGCGCGAAAGGGGAGTTTCCACGTCCACGACGAGAGAAACACCACCAGCAATCAAAACGTTACTGGAGGAGTGGTTGACAAGTGCTCTGAGCAATATGCTCAAAAACCCCAAGGAAATGTCGAAGACTTACCAACGATAGAAATCGTAGCTACCTTCGGCAACCCAGGCACCACGAGAACGAGCAATACCCGCAATGTCATCGATGCAAACGACGATGCACTCATGAACATCCTAAAGAAAATGGAAGAAATGGAAAACGAGAACAAAGCACTTAATGACCAAATGAGAGAGCACCAGGAAAGGGTTGACAAAATACCTGATGCCCCTAAACTACTACCAAAACACGATGTGGGCCGATTCGTCAAACAACTATACAGTGAGGGAGCTTCTCCTTACCCCATCCCAAAAACCTTCAAAATGCCGCCATACATGAGAATATACGATAGGACCACGGATCCAGAGGATCATCTAATCCATTACGTCACTGCGGTAAAGGGCAATGACCTATCAAAAGAACAAGTGCCATCTGTGCTACTAAAGAAGTTCGGTGAGACTTTGACAGGAGGAGCATTAACATGGTACTCCTAGCTACCGGCACGATCGATATCAACATTTGAGGAGATGGAGGATAAATTCGCCACCGCTCATGTAGGAGAAAAGAAGGCTGAAGCTAGGGTCAACGACATCTTCGCCATCAAGAAAACGGTAGGCGAGGGACTTCGAGACTTCCTGGCCTGATTCAACAGAGTAAGGATGGGACTGCCAAATGTGTTAGAAGGAATGGTAGTCGTAGCCTTCCAAAATGGGTTAAACATGAACGGATCAAAGGCAACCAAAAAATTGCTCAACAGACTCATGAAGTAACCCCCACCACATGGGAAGAGATTCACAACGCCTACTGCGCCGAGGTGAGGGCAGACGAAGACGATCTAAACGGCCTAACCCAGCGGCTGACGTTAGTTCAGACCGAGGCAAGGAGAGATCGACGTAACGATGGGCGAAGGGATCAACCCCCGCGTCTGAATCGAGAAAGGCATCAGCCTTATGTCAGAACAACTAACCCGCCTCCTCCAAGGCATGCAGATGTCGTGCTATGACACACCGCACCCCCTTCGAAATGATAGAGGTATGCCTCCACTATTATCTGCTCATAACTTTTGTGTCTCCCCTTCAGAGATAGCATACGCACTGGAGAAACTAGGCACGAAGGTACAATGGCCACAAAAATGAGATCGGACCCAAGCGCGAGAAGATCAAACGTCCTCTGCGAGTTCCATCAGGAAAGAGGACACAAGATCGAAGATTGCATAGGTCTACGACAAGAGGTGGTTAGGATGTTGAACCAGGGGTACCTGAAAGAAATGATCAGCGATAAAGGAAGGGCTAACTTCGCCAGAGGACGTGACCCATCTCAAGGACTCCCAAAGCCACCATCACCAGCACATACCATACAGATGATCATTGGCGGTGGCGACCATTCAGTAATCAACCATGTGAAGCTCACCACCACACACAAACTCAAACGGACGGTCGCCCACGAATGGTATGACGACTTCGAAGACTGTATCATCTTCAAAAAGTCAGATGACGAAGGTTTGTCTTTCCCTCATTATGATGCTTTGGTTATAACATTATGCATCGTTGATACAGACGTGAAAAGAATCATGGTAGAAGACGGAAGCGATGTATGTATTATCCACCTGAGAGTTCTCGTGCAAATGAGGCTCAAGGATAGAATAATACCACGTTGCATAACACTAACGGGTTTTAACAATGCAGTAGAGTGGGCATCCGGGAAAATAGCGCTGTTAGTCCTAGCGGGGGGGAGTCATGCTGGAAACCACATTCCACGTCATGAACCAGGAAACAGCCTATAACGCCATCATAGGGCACCCATGGATACACGCCATGCGAGCCGTCCCCTCAAGCTTCTATTAAGTGACAAAATTTCCCACCCCGTAGGGAATATTCAGCATCCGAGGCGAACCGCGCACCGCCTAAGAATGCCATCGGATCGCCCAAGATTGCACACACACCAAACAACTGAAAGGAGCAAGTGCGGAGGCATATCAATTAGCCATGTTGGGAACTAAACCCGACCCACCAACAAAGGACATTAGAGACCCAGACATCATAGAAGCCTGCAAGCCAACTATAGAGAACCTCGACCAGTCCAGTTGGATGACGTTGACAACACAAAAAAGGCTTACATCGGGCACAACCTCTCAGATCCAGGTAAGTATCGTGAATTTTTAACTAACAACGCCGATTTATTTGCCTATTCCCACTCAGATATGCTAGGGATCCCAAAGGACATCACCACTCATAGGTTGAATGTCAACCCACTCTATCCACTGGTATGACAGATGAGGAGAAAATTCAATGCCGCGATCAATGAAGTAGTCAACGAAGAAGTGGACAAACTGCTCCCCAACAGTTCCATCAGAGAATCAAAATACCCCCAGTGGGTCGCCAATGTGGTCATGGTCAAAAAGAAGAACAGGTAATGGTGAATGTGTGTAGACTTCACCGATCTAAACAAGGAATTCCCAAAAGACTCTTTCCCTTTACCCCATATCGACCAACTAATTGATGCGACAGCGGGGCATGAACTGCTGAGTTTTTTGGATGCCTACTCTGGTTACAACCAAATTCTAATGGCTAAAGAGGATCAGGAAAAGACAACTTTCATCACTCACCAAGGGACTTACTACTATAAAGTGATGTCGTTCAGACTCAAGAACGCAGGGGCCACTTACCAGAGACTGGTCACCAAAATGTTCAAGGAATAGCTCGGCAAGACAATTGAGGTCTATATTGATGATATGCTGGTAAAGTCAGCAAAGAAGGAGGACCACATCAATCATTCGAAAGAAGCATTCAAAATATTGAGGCAGTACGGGATGAAGTTGGATCTGAAAAAGTGCGCCTTTGGCGTGGCATCAAGAAAATTCTTAGGTTTCCTCATATCACAACGAGGGATCGAAGTCAGCCCGGATCAAATCAAAGCTATCGACACAATACCTGAGGTACTGACCAGCAAAAAGCAGGTACAGAAGCTAACAGGGCGAATAGCCGCCTTGTCGAGGTTCATTTCACGGTCCTCATACAGATGTCACAAATTCTTCAACGTACTAAGAAAAGATCATGGGCTGCAATGGAACAAGGAATGCATCGACGCCCTAAGGAAACTAAAAGTGTACCTGTCCTCACCACCACTACTCATCAAAGCGGACCCAGATGAATGTCTGGTCGTGTATTTGGCAGTATTCGAAGTTGTTGGCAGTGCAGTCTTGGTTCACGAAAACAAAGGTACGCAATCTCCTATTTACTATATCAGAAAAACCTTAATAGATGCCGAGACAAGATACCCTCACCTTGAAAAACTAGCTCTGGCACTAGTCGTAGCTTCACACAAGCGTAGACTATATATTCAATGTCACCCCATAAAAGTAATAACAACCTTCCCCCTAAGAGGTATCATGCATAAACCCGAACTCTCAGGCAGACTCACCAAATGGGCAATAGAACTCAGCGAGCACGACATAACTTACCAGCCGTGAACTGTCATTAAGTCGCAGGTGCTCGCCGATTTTGTCGCCGACTTCAACGTAAAAATATTGTCAGAGGCAGAACAAGAAGTGCTTTGCGCTTCTGCATGTACCGACCTTTGGACCCTCTACACCGACGGTGCTTCGAATGCCTCGGGATCGGGACTGGGACTCGTCCTCGAAGTCCCTACGGGCGAAGTAATTCGCTAGTCCGTACGATGCCCCGAGATGACTAACAATGAGGCCGAGTATGAGGTTATGATTGTAGGTCTGAAGTTAGCCCTCAAATATGGCGCCTTCCGACTCATCCTCCACTGCGACTCACAACTCGTTGTAAATAAAGCCATCGGGACTTTCCAAATCAAAGAGCGGAGACTACAGAGGTATCAGTCGGAAATCCATAAACTACTGCCGGAGTTTGACGAATGCCGCCTCGACTAGATTCCTAGGGCATAGAACATCGAAGTGGATTGCCTCGCCAAATTAGTTGCGGCCACCAAGAATATTAACAAAGAAAATGTGGTCACCCTCCTTCATGCAGCCATAGACCACGTCGAGGTACTTTCTCTAAACCTAACTTGGGACCGGCGTAACTGCCTTGTGTCCTATTTACAGGATTGAACACTCCCGCAAGACAAAAAAGAAGCCAAGAAACTCCGGGTACAAGCAGCTCGATACAGCCTGGTAAATCATGACCTCTACAAGAGAACATTTGGCGGCCCCCTAGCCAAATGCCTCGAACCGCACCAAACAAGGCAGGTACTAGAGGAAGTACACGAGGGTCATTGCGACGCCCACACAGGGAATCGTGCTCTCGTTCGATGCCTCATTCGCGCCTGCTATTATTGGCCTACTATGAAAAAAGAAGCCGCAGACTATGTCCGGAGATGCGAGCAATGCCAAAAGTACGCCCCTATGATACATCAAGCAGGAGAATTCCTCCATTCTGTCACCTCGCCATGGCCCTTCATAAAGTGGGGAATGGACATAGTCGGCCCTCTGCCTGCAGGACGAGGAAAGGTACGTTTTCTTTTGGTTTTAACTGACTATTTCTCTAAGTGGGTGGAAGTAGGTACGTACGCTCAGGTACACGAATAGGAGGTCATCGCCTTTATATGGAAAAATATTATATGTTGTTATGGCATCCCCAAAGAAATCAGCTGCGATAACAGACCCCAGTTCGTCGGAAAGAGAACAACCGACTTCTTCAAAAAATGGCACATCAAGCGAATACTCTCCACGCCATATCATCCTGCCGCCAATGGCCAAGCCGAGTCCTCCAACAAAGTGATACTGAACATATTGAAAAAGAAGCTCGAGAAAGCTAAAGGGCTATGGCCCAAACTACTACCTGAAGTGTTATGGGCATACCGAACTACGCCAAAGTCCAGCACGGGCGAAACGCCCTACTCACTGGTCTATGGGACCTACGTAGTCATACCCGTCGAGATCGGGGAACCCAGCCTAAGATACTCCCATATAAGCGGGGCGGATAACGACGAAAGTAGGTTACAAGACCTAGATAAAGTTGAAGAACGGAGAGACATGGCCTACATGAGAATGATAGCCCAGAAGCAGCAAGTAGAGAGATACTACAACAAAAAGCCAAGGTAAAATCACTCAAAGTTGGCGACTACGTCCTCAAAGCCAAAACACTGGCATCAAAAGATCTGAATGAGGGAAAGTTAGGAACAAACTGGGATGGACCGTATAAAATCATAGCAGCAGCAAAAAAAGGAGCATTCTAACAGGAAATAATGGAGGGAAAACTACTCCAAAACAACTGGAACGTCGTCCATCTCAAGTACTTCCACTTCTGAAAGGCGTCACCTAAGTCGTACTCTTTTACCCTCACCAAGTTTTGTCCCAATCGGGTTTTCTCGGGGAGGTTTTTAACGAGGAGGCGAAGGGGATACCCTATGGATCGGTACGTTGTTCATCACTTCGGTCCGTCGATACGATAACTGGGTCGAAGTAATGAAGGGACTACACAATTCAATCTCCATTGTATGAACGGAATTCAATCTCCATTGTATGAACGGAATTCAATCTCCATTGTATGAACGGAATTCAATCTCCATTGCATGAAATGCAAATCTCCTAATGGCCAAAGCCATCGACATTAGTTCAACCTCGTTCGAACCACGACGGGATACTACTTCGACGACAGTCGAAGCAACATCCTAATGGCCAAGGCCAACGACATTAGTTTGACCTCTTTCAAACCACGACGGGATACTACTTCAACGACAGTCGAAGCAACATCTTAATGGCCAAGGTCATCGATATTAGTTCGACCTCGTTCGAACCACGACGGGATACTACTTCAACGACAGTCGAAGCAACATCTTAATGGCCAAGGTCATCGATATTAGTTCGACCTCGTTCGAACCACGACGGGATACTACTTCAACGACAGTCGAAGAAACATCCTAATGGCCAAGGCCATCGACATTAGTTCGACCTCGTTCGAATCACGACAGGATACTATTTCGACGACAGTCGAAGCAACATCATAATGGCCAAGGCCATCGACATTAGTTCAACCTCGTTCAAACAATGACAGGATACTACTTCGATGACAGTCGAAGAAACATCCTAATGGCCTTGTAGTTTGACCTCGTTCAAACCACGACGAGAGTTTTTTTTAACAGTAATCGAAACAATATCCCAACAAAGACTGTCATGCAATAAACGAAAAAGGAAAAAACGACGAACAGACAAATTGGCAAAAAAGTTTATATTACAACAAAATAATTATGTACATTCGTCCTTACAAGCAGGCCCTGGTACAACCTACACCAAAAAATTCCCAAGCAAAAAATAAACGTACAAACTAGAAATACACATCGTCTCCAATAGGGTAGGCATCTTCATACCACGAATCCAAGTCAAGACGGTTCACGTCATCATAAGTGACACCCTCCCAATCGGGAGTATTAGGGTTGTACCCATATGACTCGCGGGCTGCACGTGCTTCAGCATGCGCTGCCTAAACCTCCACCTCCGTCGCCCGACCCTCGGCATGAAAAGCTCTATATACATCAAGTCGAGCCTCCGCATAAACCCACAACTCGTACAAGCGACGAAGCGAGCCCTGGCCGGCCAAAGGACAAGATGTGGAGGGCCGAGAATGACGATTTGCCACTCTGCCCTCAGCAGAGCCATTTGCCCTTTGCAATGCGGACCACTCCGCCTCTAACTCCCCAATACGCCTTTCAAACTCAGCAACTCGACTACTGGAGGCTTCCCTTTCCCCAGCGAGTTCCGACCTAGATATGCGAAGGGAATCTTCCAAAAAGACCGTCTCGGAAATGGTAACGGCC